TTTTTAAATCCAAAGTCTCAGTTATATCCAGTCACAATGGAACAAGATTCTGACTATATCCTCCTTAGCTAGGGCTCTTAAAACACTTGGCCATTGTTCTTCAGACTATTTCAAACTGCCTGTCTTTAAAGGTTACTCCAGGGAGTTTTTGATCCTGCCTTCCCATCTCTAGATGGCGGCAGAGGACTCCAACCCAGGGTTAAATCAACACACCCGAGTACAATGGCTGACTGTCAGAGCTCCCTAAACACATGGTACCTGTGCACCTCCACAATGGCCTGCACTTCTCCATGCGGACCTGAACTCTGGCGCTTTCAGAATCAATCCAATAGAACCTCTTTGGTTCTTTCATAATCCCACTCACAAACATGGAGTCTATGGGCTCCACGGCCCACCGCAGCCCATCAACCAGACCCCTATACTAAATTTAGCTTGTAGCCACTGCAGCCAGGGCTTTGATATAACTAACGGTTCCACAAATGGCATCTGGCCAAAGGCATCAAAAGCACCAAAAGCGGTACCATTTCTGTGAGCCCAGCTGCTGCAGCTGGGATTTTGGCTGTGCTATGCTGGTAAAGTTTCACAAGATTGGTGTAGGGAGGGAGGGTCTATGGTATAACTCGAAACTATGGCCAATTTCAAGCCACTGTCATGTAGCGGGAGCTGGAAAGAAGACATGCATACCCACAATCCGTTCCCATGAGCTCATCTAAACTGGCCCCAGCTGGCTTGGTTTCAGGTCAGGTCCAATGTATGGTTGGTGAGAATGAGCACTTTTCCTTTTTTAAAAAATGAATTTTATTGTATATATTTAAGGTTTACATGATATCACAAAATACATATGGATAGTAAAATTGTTACTATAGTGAAGCAAATTAACATAGCTATCATCTCACATATTTTTGTATGTGTAACAAGAGAGCTAAAATCCACTTATTTAAGTAAAATACAATTTTATTGACTTTAGTCCTCATGTTACACATTAGATCTCTAAATCTATTCATCCTACCACTCTGCTATTTTGTATCCTTTGATCTACATCTCTTCAGTTCCTCTCCCTACACCTGTGGTAACTACTGTTTCATTCTCTCTCTTGTTTTTGATCTCATATATATTCCACATATAACTGAGATGATGTAATAGCTTTCTGTGTCTGGCTTATTTCACTTAGCATAATGTCCTCCAGGTCCATCCATGTTGTAGCAAATGGCAGAATCTCTCTCTTTTTTTAAGGCTGGATAATATCCTATTGTATATATACCACATTTCCCTTATCCCTTTGTCTGTTGGTGGACATTTAGGTTGTTTCTATATCTTGGTTACTGTGAATAATGCTGCAGTGAACAAGGGAGTGAAGATATCTTTATGAGGTGGTGATTTCAACTCTTTGGGGTGTATACAGAGAGGGATTACTGGGTCATATGGTAGTTCTATTTTTTTGTGGGGGTGGGTGGGAGGGTTCTTGTTGCCCAGGCTGGAGTACAGTTGTGCAGTCTCGGCTCACTGCAACCTCCTCTTACTGGGTTCAAACAATTCTCCTGTCTCAGCCTCCTGAGTAGCTGGGATTACAGGCATGTGGCACTACGCCTGGCTAATTTTTGTATTTTTAGTAGAGATGGTGTTTCACCATGTTGGCCAGTCTGGTCTCGAACTGCTGGCCTCAGGTGATCTGCCCGCCTCGGCCTCCCAAAGTGCTGGGATCACAGGCGTGAGCCACTGTGCCTGACCAGCAGTTCTATTTTTAATTTCTATTTAAAATAGAAACCCCCATACTGTTTTCCATAATGGCTGCACCAATCTGCCTTCCTACCAATGGTGTTCTAGGGTTCCCTTTTCTCCAAACCCTAGCCAGCATTTCTCATCTTGTCTTTTGCCTTTTTTTCCCTATCTTTTTGATAAGCACTTTTCCTTTCAACACAAATTTACTCATTTCGCTTTCATCTGCTTCTTCTAGAATCGTCTTTCTCAGGTGCAACTCAGTTGCAGGACCAGGGTGAGGCAAATAAGGTGCCTAGAGAAAATTTAAGGAGGCACTCTCAGTAATATACAAGTGCAGGGACAGCCCTAAGTGAGGACTTCCTTAAAATTTTCACCCTAGGCACCCCAATAGCCACACAGCTTCTGCCATCCAATCATAAATGGATCTGTCCCTACCTAAAAATCAATGTCTCATTAGCACTTCCCTACCACCCAGCCTTTTTTTTTATCTCATAGTACCTTGGCTACATTTAGTCAAGGTCTAAAAGTCTATCCCACTTTAAGGCCTACTGCACGCATTACTCCACTGGACCTAGCAGCGATGGTTTTTGGTTCAGTTAGGCAATCACACCTTCAAGACCTGAAAAGGCCAACCCCTCACCAGTTTACTCAGTTTTGCAGAAAAATACATGGCAGTGAATAAAGCATATTGTCTAGCAGCAGAGCAGCATCAGACATGTTCCTTTAATGCAAGTCTTCACCGGAGTCCAGGGCTGTTCTTTTGCCTCCAAATTACAGCTCAGGTTCAAGGAAACAAGATTACACAGGTGGGTGTGTAGGAGCCTCTCTAGCTTAGTAGCCTCATGCCACACATAAAATACAATATATTTTGAACCTATGCAGGATTGCTATGAGAGAGTACTGCTCTCCTTCCAGGACTCAACAAGAAGAACACCTGGGTATGTCACACCACATTCAGGAAAGCCCAAAGCTATGGCTTCTCCTCAAGTATTTATAGTTCATTCACAAACCTCCCAGCTCAGATGCACTTTACCAATCAAGGGTTATGTTTACCACAGACAACACTGTAAGATCACACAGCTGTCATTCCACCTTTCGTAGATTACAGAGAAAGAGTGCTGGAAGATCACCAGGAGGCCATTTTCACAGGAGACAGGAGAAGGGTTTACTAACCCTTTGCTCACACATACTAAGGCACAACACCATAAAATTTCAGAATGTTAGGAATAAAGAAAACAACCTAAAAACCTTCCAGATTTTTGTTTTTAAAAAGTCTCAATCAAAGTTTTAGTAATTAGAATGGCTTCATACCTTTCAACAACAGCTACAGAACCTACAAGTCACTGGGGGAATATCTTCAAAATTCCAAGGAAAAACAGTTTCTAAAATAGAAATGCAAATCTATATAAACTATTAATCAAGCTTAAAGGTCGATCTCTCAGAGATGCAGAGACTTAGAAAATTTTCCTTAATGGACCATTTCTCAGAAACTTTTGCAGAACCCCCATCCCCACTACACCAAACAAAGGAGTAATCCAACAAAGAGTTGCAAATCCAAGAAATAGGAGATCTCTCATAGGGAAGAAGCAATGTCTCAGAATAGTAATGAATAGAGATTTCAGGACAGTCAGCAGGCCTAAAGAGCATATCATAGAGCAGTATGATGAGGGAATTATCCAGGGGAAAGAAGAAATTTATATTTCTGTCAAAGGATTTGGGGGTGAATTACTGATTGAATATAAAAAAACTAAGGAAACAAACAAACAAAAATCATCCAATAACCCTGAGGTGAAAGAGGGATTTAAGCGCAGAAAAACCACTCTAATTCAGCTATGTCCTGTCTTTACTGTGCTGGGAGAATGGGAAGGGGGAAATGGAGGTACATTGGGAAGGAGGGTGTTGGCTTTCAAAACTTTTGGTTTACTGATCTAACAGCCATTTCTAATTCCCTTTTCCTTTGTCTCCCCCACACACTATATTCCCTTGGCTGGAGAAAGGCTAATTACTGCCTTCCCAAGCTTCTCTGGTAGCTATGGGTGACCACGAAACTGTTCAAGTCAATCATTTGTAATTAGGAGTTTAGTAAGGGTTTCTGGGAAAGCTTTTACTTTCCTTATTGAACAAGTAGATTTGGCAGTCATTCCCTTTCCTTTCTTTTTGTCTTGGACATGGATTGATGCCTAGAGCTGCAACAGTCACAAGTGCAAACATGAATCAACAAACAAAACATGGTAAGGATGGTGGAACAGAAAGGAAGAGCGTGAGTGACTGATGACATAGATGAGCCACTGCGCTGACTCTGAACAGTCTGCCTCTAAGACTTATTAAATGAAAGCTCAGTCAGGTTTTCTGTTACTTACAGCTGAACGCATAAAAAATTCTTAGCTAATACATGATAGATGAGAGTTAAATATTCATTCTCTATAGCAGGAAGTCAATACATGATATCTAAAGATTTAAAAACTAAGAAATAACATGTTGAAGCATGTTATTTACTTGGAAACACGACAGTAAGCACCTGAAGAAATAGCTAAAAGAATGAAAACTGGATGCCACTGAGGAGTGGAAATTGAGAAAGGTGGGGCTGGCGACTGCTATTTTTCTTCTTCTTCTTTTTTGAGACACCGTCTCGCTCTGTTGCAAGGCTGGAGTGCAGTGGTGTGATCACAGCTCACTACAGCCTCGACCTCCTGGGCTCAAGCAATCCTCCCACTTCAGCCTCCCATGCAGCTGGGATCACAGGCATGTGCTACCATGCCTGGCTAATTTTTAATTAATTTATTTATTTTGTAGAGATGGGGGTCTCCTCCCAGGCTGCACTATTGATTTATTGTAAGCCTTATAGTAGGGTCTCTCAACATTAGCACTACCAACATTTTGGGCCATATAATTCTTTGTTGTGCGAGGCTGTCCTATGCATTGTTTATCAGTGTTTCTGGCCTCTGCCCATTAGATGTCAGTGGCAATCCTCCTTTTCCCCAATTGTGACAACCAAAAATGCTTCTGACCATTGCCAAATGACCTTGCAGGGCAAAACTGCCTTTGGTTAAGAACCACTGCCTTATAGTGCTATTTTAAAAAATTTTTAATTATACTGTAAATGTATAATTTTCATAAAATTAATTATGGTTAAAGAGACAGTATGAAATAAGCTAGACAGAAAACTGCCAAATGTCATTTCACCTTTCAAATACCTCTCACTCTCCTTCACTGACCTTTCCCTAAGCCTAAGAATCCCACTCCTTTCCTCCCAGACAAGCACAGACAGAGCAGACACTTACCACCTAGAAATGCACACTCATAATGGCTGCAGGTCTTGTTTGTGCTTTGAAGGATAAGGTTATTGCCAGTCCCTTCCTGTGACACTTGAAAAACCTCATTCAGAGGTATTAAAGTAATTCTTTCACTTTCTTTATCAAGAAATTTTTCAATGTCAACTCCAAGGCATGTGTAGATGGATAACACAGTGAGCTGGTCATCAGCAGCCTGAGGTTTGACTGAATATGCCAAGGTAAAATGGCCAAACCTGGCTTGGTTTAGCCCTCCAAATGTAAATGAAGTGCCCTGGCTTGTTCTATATACCACATTTTTGGAATTGGCCTCACAAGGTCTTCTCAGCAACTGCAGGGCTCTTGTCAGGTAAAAGTGGAAAGCTTTGAACTGGAAGCCATAGATATAATCTTCTCGAGATTGCCCAGCCATCTTCACAGCTTCACTGAATAGATGGTAAAAGGGAGTTTGCTCTTGAGCTTCGGAAATATATGCCATCAGGGCTATTCCATAGTTATCCTTAAAATTCACAGGGAGAAAGATTTGAGTCTTTCGGGCTGCCCATTTGGCTTTTGCATTTTCCCACACAGTATCTAATTGCTGGTGGCTTGCTTTTTCCTCCTTCAGCAGTTGGGGAACGTATTTAATTTCCATCCTGTCAGTACATTTCAGGTATTCATCATCAAATGCATTATCTGCCATGTCTAACACTTCAGCCTTCACCTTCAAAGGAAAAAGAAAGTAATACTCTTGAAATAAGAAATTTAGTGAGTATCATTTTCTCTCACATTATTACCCCCATCTTCTCATCCCTTGCCAAAATTCTCTCCTTACTTATAACCAACTTTGGGTAGGATTTTTATGCAGGAAGTATATTCCACTGCTACTGATAACTTTTCTCAGCTGTGACATATTTCTGTGAAAGAGTAAATGTCAGTGGGTGACAGGGTGACAGGTATGGGTGAGATTGTGCCTGTAGCTCATTTATCTGGACATTATGGTACAGAGCAAAGAACAATGAATGTGAAGCTAAAGAAATGGGTAGCAGTCCCAGCTTTGAACAATATTCTTAGCTAGATTTCTTCGACCCGTCAAGGCTGTTAGGAATTTGAAGTATCATATGCAAATATTATTCATGATCTATAACACATAATGACAAACATTACTCCTTTTCCTGTGGGGTTGCCCCCTCCCTTGTCCATATGGCTTGGGTAGAAATGATTTTGCATTTCCTGGATAAGCAGGTGATCTAAGTCTAGCAATCAGAGCTCCCAGAGGAAAAAAATGAATCTTTCTTCCTTTAAAGCTATAAGCTCTAAGGATAATATTGACCTAGGGCTTCCAACAGTTATTCTTTTTGTTCCATGGAGAATTCTGTCTGAAAATAAAGCAACAAATAAGGCTTGCTGAGCTGAGAAGTAGAGATAAGGCCCTAAAAACATACTTTAGACACTGAATTAACTGTACCTGAAGACTGTGTTCTTCACCAATTCTAAGAATCAATAAATTCCCTGTTTGCTTCAGCTAGTTTGAATTGTATTTCAGTCACATACAACTGAAGAGGCATAATGCCACATACAACTAAATTATACATATACATATGTTCACATACCATAAGACGCAGGGTGGTGTAATGTAATCAACACTACTTTGAAGCCAGGCAGATCTGAGTTCAAATCCCATTTGTTACGAATTAGGTATGGGAAAGTTACTTGACATTTCTAATCCTCAAGTTTTCCATTTAAAAAAATGAAGATAAAACACCAGACTCGGTGGCTCATGTCTGTAATCCTAGCACTCTGGGAGGCCAAGTGGGCAGATCATGAGGTCAGGAGTTCAAGACCAGCCTGGCCAACATGATGAAACCCTATCTCTACTAAAAATACAAAAATTAGCTGAGCGTAGTGGCAGGCACCTGTAATCCCAGCTACTCAGGAAGCTGAGGCAGGAGAATCGCTTGAAACCGGAAGGAGGAGGCTGCAGTGAGCGGAGATTGTACCACTGCACTCCAGCCTGGGTGAAAAGCAAAACTCCGTCTCAAAAAATAAAAAATAAATTAAAAATGAAGATAAAGTGGAGGAAATAATATCTGAACTGCGGGATGGCTGTGAGAATTAAATTACATAATGAATATATGCAAAGCCCTTTGTCCCATGCCTGGCACTTGTCAAGTCTTTAACATACTGTGGTTATTATTATTTTTTTCATAAGGTCTTTCTCCAGTGTGATGTGGTTATTTTGTATTATTTCATGTTAAGAACATATGTATTATACTGTTAGTTCCTTAAGGGTAGGATCTGTATCGTTTTTATCTTTGAATCCTATGCACCTAGCACAGAACCTGGCAAAATATTCAAGTGAACTAAATTAGAACCCTGTACTCTGGCTTACGGATCAAAAAATAAGATGATCAAATCTCCCCAGGAATACCATTTATGGGTTTCTGCAAATAAAAGGATAATGCCTCTTCCATTATTCTATACTTGTATGGTGCATAGTTGCATAAGTCTCCTTAGGGACCTCAGTTGGAGACTTTATAGACACATTTAGTCAGAAGCTGTTAAAGTTACAGATTCAAAAAAAAAGTTACAGATTCTATGTGAATGATTCTTAAAAACTCTCTCTCTCTCTCTTACTGTGTGTGTGAGAGAGAGAGAGACAGAGAGAGAAAGAGACAGAGAGAGACAGATACATTAACTTGTAAAAGCAAAACAAAACTTGCTTCCATATCTTGCCCTAGGTATCTCCTTTCCCGTCTCTCTTCTCTCCCTCATGAACAAACATCTTGAAAGAGATGTCTATCCTTGCCATCTCCACTTCATTTCCCACTTATAGCTCAACCCTCACCATTATGGCTTCCCACCCATTTCTCCACCCAAACAGCTCTCACTTAAGGGAGCATTTCTTCTTAGACTCTTTTGCAGACCCAACATATTCCAGTTAGCCACTAAATGTTGGAGTTTCTCAAGGCTACGTATTTTCTAACTCTCAACTCTACGCTCCCCAGGCAGTTATATACATGCTTACAGTTTCAATTATGATCTAAATATATCTGATCTATCCTGTAAGTGCCAGTCCTATATATCAAATTTATTTGCCTACTTAACACCTCCACTTGAATGTTCAAAGACCCTTCAAACGTAACATGTCTAAGACAAAACTTACAATTGTACAGCCACAACGACCTGGTTCTTATTTAAAACCATCCATTCGTTTGTGAACTTTTCCTACATATTTCCTTCTCAGACACACTCCATAGCCACTCTATCACTAAGCTTAACAAACATCGCCAGAGCTGTTAGGAATTTGAAGTATCATATGCAAATATTATTCATGATCTATAACACATAATGACAAACATTACTCCTTTTCCTTTGGGGTTGCCCCCTCCCTTGTCCATATGGCTTGGGTAGAAATGATTTTGCATTTCCTGGATAAGCAGGTGATCTAAGTCTAGCAATCAGAGCTCCCAGAGGAAAAAAATGAATCTTTCTTCCTTTAAAGCTATAAGCTCTAAGGATAATATTGACCTAGGGCTTCCAACAGTTATTCTTTTTGTTCCATGGAGAATTCTGTCTGAAAATAAAGCAACAAATAAGGCTTGCTGAGCTGAGAAGTAGAGATAAGGCCCTAAAAACATACTTTAGACACTGAATTAACTGTACCTGAAGACTGTGTTCTTCACCAATTCTAAGAATCAATAAATTCCCTGTTTGCTTCAGCTAGTTTGAATTGTATTTCAGTCACATACAACTGAAGAGGCATAATGCCACATACAACTAAATTATACATATACATATGTTCACATACCATAAGACGCAGGGTGGTGTAATGTAATCAACACTACTTTGAAGCCAGGCAGATCTGAGTTCAAATCCCATTTGTTACGAATTAGGTATGGGAAAGTTACTTGACATTTCTAATCCTCAAGTTTTCCATTTAAAAAAATGAAGATAAAACACCAGACTCGGTGGCTCATGTCTGTAATCCTAGCACTCTGGGAGGCCAAGTGGGCAGATCATGAGGTCAGGAGTTCAAGACCAGCCTGGCCAACATGATGAAACCCTATCTCTACTAAAAATACAAAAATTAGCTGAGCGTAGTGGCAGGCACCTGTAATCCCAGCTACTCAGGAAGCTGAGGCAGGAGAATCGCTTGAAACCGGAAGGAGGAGGCTGCAGTGAGCAGAGATTGTACCACTGCACTCCAGCCTGGGTGAAAAGCAAAACTCCGTCTCAAAAAATAAAAAATAAATTAAAAATGAAGATAAAGTGGAGGAAATAATATCTGAACTGCGGGATGGCTGTGAGAATTAAATTACATAATGAATATATGCAAAGCCCTTTGTCCCATGCCTGGCACTTGTCAAGTCTTTAACATACTGTGGTTATTATTATTTTTTTCATAAGGTCTTTCTCCAGTGTGATGTGGTTATTTTGTATTATTTCATGTTAAGAACATATGTATTATACTGTTAGTTCCTTAAGGGTAGGATCTGTATCGTTTTTATCTTTGAATCCTATGCACCTAGCACAGAACCTGGCAAAATATTCAAGTGAACTAAATTAGAACCCTGTACTCTGGCTTACGGATCAAAAAATAAGATGATCAAATCTCCCCAGGAATACCATTTATGGGTTTCTGCAAATAAAAGGATAATGCCTCTTCCATTATTCTATACTTGTATGGTGCATAGTTGCATAAGTCTCCTTAGGGACCTCAGTTGGAGACTTTATGGACACATTTAGTCAGAAGCTGTTAAAGTTACAGATTCAAAAAAAAAGTTACAGATTCTATGTGAATGATTCTTAAAAACTCTCTCTCTCTCTCTTACTGTGTGTGTGAGAGAGAGAGACAGAGAGAGAAAGAGACAGAGAGAGACAGATACATTAACTTGTAAAAGCAAAACAAAACTTGCTTCCATATCTTGCCCTAGGTATCTCCTTTCCCGTCTCTCTTCTCTCCCTCATGAACAAACATCTTGAAAGAGATGTCTATCCTTGCCATCTCCACTTCATTTCCCACTTATAGCTCAACCCTCACCATTATGGCTTCCCACCCATTTCTCCACCCAAACAGCTCTCACTTAAGGGAGCATTTCTTCTTAGACTCTTTTGCAGACCCAACATATTCCAGTTAGCCACTAAATGTTGGAGTTTCTCAAGGCTACGTATTTTCTAACTCTCAACTCTACGCTCCCCAGGCAGTTATATACATGCTTACAGTTTCAATTATGATCTAAATATATCTGATCTATCCTGTAAGTGCCAGTCCTATATATCAAATTTATTTGCCTACTTAACACCTCCACTTGAATGTTCAAAGACCCTTCAAACGTAACATGTCTAAGACAAAACTTACAATTGTACAGCCACAACGACCTGGTTCTTATTTAAAACCATCCATTCGTTTGTGAACTTTTCCTACATATTTCCTTCTCAGACACACTCCATAGCCACTCTATCACTAAGCTTAACAAACATCGCCAGAGTTCTTTCTATATGCCAGGCACTAAGTGTTCGGCAACCTTGTGAGGTAGGTACTACTATTAGCCCCCCTCCTTTTTTTTTTTTTTTTTTTTTTAACAAAGATAAGGAAACTAAGAGATTGAGACTTACATGGAATTGGAATTTGAACTCAGGCAGTCTAATTCCAGAGTCTTGTCCTCTTAACCAAACTGTTCTGTTGCCTCTAAAGAATGAGAATGTTTCCAATGACGAAGACCATGGACATTTACGTAGCACTTGAAGAAGAGTGTAATTCTGTCTTCAGAACAACCATTATAAAAGGTTGAATAGAAAATCATTAACACCATTTTACAAAAGAGGGAACTGTGCCAGCTTCAGAAACTGTCCTGATTACTAGCCACGGAGAATTCTGCCATGGAAGTCATTGAGACCCCTGTAGTCCTGGGTTTGTAGGTCAGTTTCCTGACATGGGAATTTGAGCTTCAGGAGATCAAATCACTGCTATCTCATAGCCAAGAAATGCACTTTCCTCCACAGCACAGAATGTACCACAGTGCAGCTTGGGTGCCAATGTCTGATTTATTTTCAAGACTTCAACACCGTATAAGACACCAGACTCTGAAAACACCTCCCACATTCCTTACATTATGTCAGAGTTGATCTATGTTCCTGTCTTTTCCCTATGCCTCTAACAAGTCTCCAAATGTCTAATTTTAGACATCAAGTCTTTCTGGCCAGACACCACAGCTGATTGTGTATTTTGTATGATGTGTGCCTTCAGCAGTGGCAAAGTTCATAAATGCCACCACTATTCAGAGACAACTGAACAGATACTAAAAAAAACATGGTACGAAAAGGCTAGGTGAACAAGCTTGATTTATATTTCTCTGATATAACCACTGAGAAAAAAGGTCATACTGGTGAAATTCAATTACCAAAAATTTCTTACAAAAACATGGAAATGACCTAAAGGTCAAGGAGAGAAATTGGCTAAACAAATCACGAAACAATTACAAAACAAATACACTTAAATTATGCTGCAAGAGTATATTGAAAACCAAATCAAAACCACATTGAAATACCACTTCATATCCTCTACGATGACTATAAATGATGAAAACCAAGTAACATGTAACACAAGGATGCAGACATATTAGAACCCTAATATATTGCTGGTGGGATTGTAATACCGTGCAGCTAGTGTAAAAAAGTTTGGCAGTTCCTAAAACAGTTAACATAAAATTACCATATGACCCAGCAATTCCACTACTAGGTGTATACCCAAGAGAAGTGAAACATGTTCACAACAATAGGTAATTTTGTTATCATGAATCATAAATCATAACCCCCAAATTCATTTTTACACACACATTTCCTATATATAAGTAAACTTTACTCTGTAATGCTACCAAATAACCAAACAGTGTTTGTCTTATCTCACTATGTCAAGATTACATGATTAGAAAACATTTTAAAAAGAAAAATAAAACACATGTTCACACAAAAACTTGTACATAAATGTTCACAACAATACTATTCGTAATAGCCATAAAGTACAAACAACCCAAATGTCCATCAGCTGATAAATGGATAAACAAGATGGGGTACGGCCATAAGACAGAATATTACTCAGCTATAAGAAAGAATGAAGTACTGATAGGACTCCTGAGAACATTATGCTAAGTGAAACAAGCCAGACACAAAAGGTCACATATTGTATGATTCCATTCAGGTGAAATATCCAGAATAGGCAAAACCATAGACACAGAAAGTAGATAGTGGTTGCCAGGGAATGGGGGATGGAGAAAATTGGGGCTGACTGATAATAAGTACAGGGTTTCCTTTTGGGTTGATGGAAATGTTTTGCAATCAGATAGTGGTGATGGTTGCAGAACATAATGAACATACTAAAACCACTGAAGTAGACAGCTAAAAACGGTAAATTTTTATGGTATGTAAATTATATTTCAATAAAAAACATACTGTGACACAGGCAACAGGATACACAATGATTCTATAGAAAATGGATTAGAATATTAAATTCAAAAAAGGATAACAGTTTAAGAATTTAAGATATTTTTAAAAAGGTGTCTAAAATGGTACACAAATACAGAAGTAATGTGGCAGCTAACAACATGGGGAAAAAAAAAAGTGAAATATTATATTTTACATAAAAATATGTTACAGATGCTTAAAGAGTCAATTGTAAATAAAATCATAAAAGTTCTGCCAGAAAAAAAAGTGAGAAAATCGTCATTAATTAAAAAACATGTAATCAAACAATGCAGCATTATCTTATTTGGAGAAAAACATATTTTCAGAATATCTGATGACATGTGAGACATGCAGCACAGTATTAACTGAAAATGCAAAGAAAAAATACTACGTACAGTGTGAACCCATTTTTTTAAATTAAAAACAGTATACACATAGAAAAAAGCCAAGAAGCCTGTATACACCAACAGGTTGGGAATCATTCCCTCTGAGTGGAGGGATTATGAATAATCTTTACTTTCCTCTTTTTGCTTAATTTTAATTTTTTCAACTTTTTACAGTTAATGTGTCACACATTTAAAATGAAAAGAGTTACTTATAATAAATTAATTTACCTATCCTACCTACTTTCATTTCCACCCTCAAGCCACACAGATGCCTCAGGTAATGTTATATCAAGAATTTCCATTCCAATGACCACATGCTTCCCATTCCCAACATTACCTGGAAAATGTCCACTAGAATCATGGTTGCCAGCAGCATGGTGACTATTTCAAAATGTCCTGTCTTCATTTTTCTCTTCTAAATTAAAATAAAGAAATTTCAATTCAGTAGACTCAAAAAAGAGATGTAGGGGAGTAGAATAGGATGACACTGTGCATTTTTTCATTTAGAATGCGAGAGGATAGCATGATGGTCAGGAAGTGATTATCAATAAATTCCTAACGGGTTACAAAAGCAATTAGGCTTTATCTAGCGGTCTAACGCTCTCATTCTAGAGACGAGAAAACAAAAACTCCTTAGAATTTCAGTGATTTGCTCAAGATTAAATCTGTCCATTTCCATACTCCTCCAGACGTGTCATCTCTCCCACCACAGTCACTGGGAGTCAAATTTTCTTCCCATCGCTAAATCTCCCCTCAGCATGCACAGGAAATAACACAATCAGACTGAAAAACAGCAGTCTCAAATAGGTCCCCTAGCTCCCAGTTTCCAAGAATTCTCCAGGAATATGTCCATGCACATTATCCATTCTTCTATCTTCTTTGCACATTAAGTCATGCGCTTTTGAGTGGGACGGAGGAGATGATGAGGCCATAGTGGTACAAAGCAGTGGATTGTCAGAGATGGCCCCCTTCCCACAAATACTCACAATCAAGAGAAGCCTGAGGGTAAAATAAGTGTGTTGCATAACTTTCTAAAGGCGGGAACAAGAATAAGAAGGAACTGGGTAGGCAGCAATTCTAAGATTATACAACTATTGGCTGAATGCCTAATATTCATCCCAGTATTTATGATACTGTAACTCAAATGAAGCTTCTATTTTATCCTACCAATCACCATATTCTGGATTCTAAAAATGAGAATGAACAGCACAGGGGAAGGGAGACAGTCTTCCCTTTTATAGATCATTTTGGCCTCAATTTCCCATATTTCTTCAGAAGCAGTTTTGTTTTGTTTTTACTAAAAATACTAAAATATAGTACCAACATGCTACTTTGTGTTAAACTTCTCTTTCCAAAAAAGATTTGAATATAAGATAATAGATACCTGTCACAAGGCAATATATTTTAAGCAAGCTTTGGATCAGGATTTTCCTAAAAATTGTTCATTTCTTTAGTCTGAGTGTAAATAAGTCAAAAGGTTTACCTGGCTTTTGTGCCTTTGGAGGAAGTTTAAATGATGCTAGGCCTCAAACTGACTCCCCACTCTCAGTTGTGGTAAGCGAGTCTTCAGGATGGGATGTTGTTGACAGTGAGAGCTGAGACGGGAATGCTTTTCTTTTTATAAACACCCCCAGCAGTAGCTTGGCAGTGGCACATTACGCTACTTGTGTTCTGCTATTTATATCTGGCCCCCACACTATGCCTTGGAATCACTGCTGTTAACACTTTAAATCTCCAAGAGGCTGGTAAAGCCATAGCCATTCCCTTTAGCCACACAGCAAGTTCGGTTCTGAGCCCACAGTTCTAGGCTTCTCTCAGAGAGAAATGACTTCCCATTCCTAATCCTTTGACACTGAGATATCAAACTAAAGCATGGATTTTACTCTAGGCTAAGTGATTCACATAACTAAGGGAACTTGCTTTGTTAATCACTGGCAATGGTGACAGCTATCACCATTCGCTCAACTAGCTTACTGTATTTCAGGTACCTTGTCAGGAGTCGGGATACACAAGCAAGTGAAACAAAGTACTAAAAAGCACTCACGATCTAATAAAAAACATGAATATGCATACTTAACCAAAATACAACATGTTAAGAATCCCAAGTATAGGCAAAGTCCAGTGATAACACTAAGGAGGGAAGGATTTGGCAATGCCTGCAACTAAAGCTCTCATTTGCGTAACGTATACATGGTAAATATACTGACTGCAATGCTGAGGAACACTTAGGGTTCACTGATTGTGGATTAAAAAAACACAAAAATGTCCTAAGAAATTCACGCATACATACACCACAATGCATTAATAGAATGTTTATAGTCGCACTATTCATAATAACCCCCAAACTGGAAACCATCTAAATGTCCATCAATAGTAGAATGGTTAAACTGTAGTATATTCATACAGTGAAATTTTATATAGCATTGAAAATGAACAAACTCTGACCATATATAACAATGTGGATAAATCTCACAAAATTTTGAGTACAAAAAGAGATACAAGCATGTTTATACTATATGATTTAATTTATATCGAGAACAAAATTAGGCAAAACACTTCCAAGGCATGAGAAGTCAGAACAGAGGTCACCCTGGGTAGTAGCTAGTAACTGGGAGGGCACAGAGGAGCATCTGAGATGTTAGCTGGGTTCTGCTTTTTGCTATGGGTGCCAATTACATTGACACATTCAGTTTGTGAAAATTCAGCAAGCTATATACTTATGATATGTGTATTTTTTTGTACACACATATATTACTTCAAGAAAACATTTTCAATTATCATGAAATACACCCATGTTTACAAAATCCAACTCTACTCTTTAGAACTGAGACAAGTTCCAACCTTTTCCCACCTCACTGGCTTGGCAATCCAAGATTAAATACACAGCACAGACTCACTCCCAGAAATATCATTTTTTAAAAAGCAAGAGTTTGGTTAGAAAGAAAAAAGAGAGTGTGCATGTTTTCAGGCCTTAGGCTCACAATAACCTGCTTTTAAGTCCCAGGCATGTAGGCCTACAGGAAATGAGGTAGAGAAGTTCTCCTGTTGCTGGGCTCCCAAAACCTGCCAGACTCATCTATATATCACACAAACGACAACGTTCATCAAAAAGAATAGAACAAATGCGAGATGACATTCACGGCAAGTTTGGCCTTGTTTATACCCAATGTGATTTTGTTCCATTCCTGCTTTGTTCCAGTTTTTAACTAAATTTCTTTCATTCATTCATTGAACAAATACTTGAGTCCTTAAAATGTGCTAGGAACTATTTTAGGTACTAGAGGTATACCAGTGAACAAAATGGATAAATATCTTGCCTTTGTGAAGTTTATATTCTTGTGGGAGGAGGTAGTCAAATAACTAAAATAAGTATGTAAATTATACAAGTATGTTAGAATGTAGTGAGTGCTATGGTTTTGGCTTTTGTTTATAAGCAGCACAAAGGAGACTAGGAGTGCATGGAGTGTTTGCAATTTAAATTGGATTGTTAGGGAAGACTCACTGAAAGGTGATATTTGAGCAAAGACTTGAAAGAGATCAGTCATGAAGACTGTGGTAATCAAACACAGTGAATAGCAGGTACTAAAAGACCTGAGACAAGAGAATGCCTACTTTTGTTTGAGGAACAGTAAGCAGGTCAATATGGTTGGAATATCAGAGTAGTACAAGATAAGGGTCAGAGAGGTAAGGGGGTGGTGGGAAGACCATGTCAATCTTTGTAGGCCACTGTAAGAACACTGGCTTTCACTCTAAGAGAAAAGCAGCAAATCACAGGTTTTGAAAAGAGGTATTACATGATCTGATTTATTTTTTAAGAGGATCACTCTGGCTGTTATGCTGAGAATGGTCTGCAGGGTGAATGTAAGAAGACTAATTGACAGGTTATTATAATAATGCAAGCGGAGATTATGGTGGCTTGAATCAGGAAGGCAGCATTAAACGTAATGAGAAGTAGATGTGTATGTATGTGTGTTGTTGCTGTTGCTGAGGTGGTATGAAGTGGATGTCTGAGTGTATGATGGTATGAAGTGGATGTCTGAGTGTATGTTTATGTTGTTGCTTTGTTGTTGTTTGCTTGTTAGAAACAGTCCATTTTTATTTGAGCCTGTTAAAAATCTGACTGTTGTAGGTTAGACACAGTATTTCCTGATATGATAAGGAAAAGCATTTGTGGGTTCTAAAAGTCTACTATATTTTCAAAAATGTAATAACTCACAAAGAAAATGGAAATGATCTATAAAGATACCAATTTATTATACAGTTAAAGTGCTTGTAATCTCAGAGATTTGGGAAGCCAGGGCAGGGGGATCGCTTGAAGCCAGGAGTCCTGGCCAGGGCAACACAGGGAGACTTTGTCTCTACAAAAAGTTTTAAAAATTAGCCAGGCATGTTGGCACATGCCTGTAGTCCTAGCTACTTGGGAGGCTGAGGCAGGAAGATCTCTTGAGCCCAGGAGTTCCAGATTACAGTGAGCTATGATGGTGCCACTGCACCCCAGCCTGCAACAGAGCAAGACCTCGTACCAAAAAAAAAAAAAAAAGTTTAGACTTAAATGCAGGATATAATTTGAAGATTGAGGCAATAGGATGCACTGACAAACTATATGTGGGCTGCAAGAAAAAGAGGGGAGTAAAGAATAGTTCCAAGATTTTTAGCTTGAATAACTGGAAGGATGGAGTTGTCACTGACTGACATGGAGAAGACTGTGTGTGGAAAAAGCATCCTGGAACTCAAGTGAAGAAAATATTTTCAAAACAAAGGAAAGATCAAAGGTGTTAAAAGCTTCTGATAGGTCAAGTAAGATGAGGACTGAGAACTGACCATTGGATTTAGCAATGTGGAGGACATTGAAAGTTTTGATAAGAACAGGTCTGATAGAACAGTGGGAATGAAAGCCTGGTAAGAATGGCCTAAGAAAGAATGAAAAGAGCAATTGGAGACATTGGAAATGGTTGGTATCTTCAACTCTTTCAAGGAGTTTTTCTATAAAGGACATAAAAGGAATGAGGCGGTAGCTTGATGGCGGGACTGAGGAAAAGGTAAAGAAAAGAGTCCAAGAAATTTTTTTTTTTTTTTTTTTGAGATAGAGGTTATGCTGAGAATGGTCTGCAGGGTGAATGTAAGAAGACTAATTGACAGGTTATTATAATAATGCAAGCGGAGTTATGATATGTGTATTTTTTTGTACACACATATATTACTTCAAGAAAACATTTTCAATTATCATGAAATACACCCATGTTTACAAAATCCAACTCTAGCTGCCCACCACCAAGCCTGGCTAATTTTTGTATTTTTAGTAGAGATGGGGTTTCACCATGTTGGCCAGGCTGGTCTTGAACTGCTGGCCTCAAGTGATCCGCCCGCCTTGGCCTCCCAAAGTGCTGGGATTATAGGCATGAGCCACTGTGCCCA